CAAAAAAGTACTCCAGAGTGTTGTTCAGCATGGGGGTGAGTAGAAAATGAAGGCTAATCATGTTTTGGGTGTACTATTCCTTTAAAACCTGCCAGGATTTTTTCCCTCAGAAACTGATAGAAAACTTTGAATCTGACTCAATGATCTGGTTGAATCGTCTCTGTAAAGTGCCTTGAGATGACTTGTCATGAATCGAAATTCTACATTTCGCTGTATAGATTTTAGAAATGAAATTCAGGTGTGTATTTTGAAAGTGGATATAGTTTTAGACTGCAGCTTCTGCTGGGATAAAAAGCTTCATGGGAAGTTTCCTGGACGCCTGCAGAGGCAGAGCTCCTCTAAATAGGCCACCGTCAAAGAAAAGACGAGAAATGAGAGTTGCATGAGGGAGCATAGAAAATGAACGCGGAGGAGCCATTTCTCACCAAGAAAGGCAGACGGTGATACGGTGCCGTTGCTACGAGCTACCATGACGCTGATGCCCGTCTCCACAAATGGCACAGAGAAGTCAATGATTTCAGAGCGTTCCTCGTTGATGGTGAGGGAGCCGATGGCCATGTCAGCGCGCCTGTAAAACACCTGATAAAAGATGCAGGGAAACAGAAGATATCAGCAGGGGAAACACAATAACTGGCAGTATTTCTATTTTATTTAAAGGACCCATCTTAACTGTGTTTTGCAATTTTTCGACAGTTTTTACCGACCTCAGAAAAGAGGCAGCAGCTGTATGTTAGGACTGTAAATGCATCTCTCTGCAGGGACACATTTGTCTCATTATTGTGCTTGAGGGAGGAGCTAAACGCTACATCTTGAGATTTCCCAAATCCAAAGCGGCTTCATAAACGTTGAGCACAAACACAATTATACTGTAACAGTAGCTGAATGCCCTCGGGCTCAGAAACACAAGCGTGAAGGCTCCTCTGCAGAACATCTGTTCACATGGTTTCACATTTGGCTGCTGATGGCTTTGAAGCAGGTTGGCAGGTACGCAGTCCCTAAACTGAAGCGATTCCTCCCGCCTCAGCGAGTCATTTACTGCAGCATCACTTTCATTTAGGACTTTTTACTTGAAGTGCGTCTAACGTGAACGCAGAGACTTTAGAAACGGAAAGCTTGATTTACCCTAATTTAGAATCTGATCTTTTCAAATGCGACCTGAACCCTATTAATACCCGACAAAGGTCACTATTCTGGGTCTTGCTATGAAGAAGCGGCAAGAAAAACAACAACCATGGCGGACAGCAGTATTTATGTTTAACCATCTTGAAGAGATTGTGTTATTATGGTTGGGAAAGATCGCTAGATGCGCTCCGGCACTAACATCCATGTTTACTTCCGTAAACACAGAACATGCTGGCTTGTGATGTCATTGCGTCCTCTACTGCAGGCGTTGGTGCATGCGAAGTCACATACAAGTCGCATATATTAGGAAATATGAGCGGCAACGCAAAAATAAAATCAGAATGAAGCATTAAGGCCTGCAGCCTTTGACATCCTGCCCAGTTTGATGCTGCTGCTAAAAGATTTCCTGATTAGTCAAATCGATGCTAAAGTATAACTTCACATGATGCTCCACATTTTAGGGAAGAAAGTATTTCTAGTAGGAGTTGTCATAAAATACAACTTTATTCTCGCAATATTAGAACTTTATTCTCATAATATTACACCTTTATTCTCATCATTTTATCGACTTTATACTTGTAATTTATGACTTTATTTTCATAATTTTATGACTATTCTCTCTGTGACTTTATTCACGTAATAGAAAATAAAAAAAACTCCAGCCTGGCACTAATACTCCGTCATACCAAAGTATAACTTGACATGATGCTCCACATTTTAGGGCGCACACAGCAAAAAATCTAAATCTAGCTAAGTAATTTTTTCTTAAAATAAGTGCATTTGTTCTTGAATTGAGGAGGTAAAAGAGACACTTTGCCAATGGAACAAGACAATTTACACTTAAAATAAGAAA